CTCGTTCCCTATCATGGATCCAAATATGGCTCCTCGTCACTCCTTTTTCTTTTATCTCTCACGTTGGTGAGATCCCTGAAATGTCATTAGATGGATGAATGAACACCAACTGATGAATCCATTTCCTGATGGGTAATGGGAGAGCACCGAACAACGTGGGTGATTCCCCGTACCAAATCCAGAGAGAGGAAGCAAGGTCTCCATCAAACGATACGAATGCTGGCGTGGCTGATGCCTAGATTCTCTCTTTTTTGTGTCGATCCCTCGTCTTCTCTGTATTGTACCTCGTAGTTCAGTGGTCCCTTCCCCTCCCGCCCCCCCTTAAACACAATAATTCCGAACGTCCATTCCACCATCTCACGTCGCTCTCTGTCAACCATGGATGCATGGATGTCATCCTGCAACAATCCATCACGGTTTTGTGCACAAGAGTTCTGATTGCAGTGGTGTTACCGGTCATAAATCCATGGCAACTTGTGCAAGAATTCCAATGTTCTCCATGGGTTGTCATTTCATGTCCTTCTCCATGGGTTGTCTGTTCTGTTCTGTTCTCTTCTCTACCACGCAGAGTGCGTTCATGGCAGCAGTCTGCCAAACGGAGAGACTCGACATGCACATTACAGCGTGAGAAAGGAAAGAAGACTATGACCCCACGTACGGTCGAATCCGGAGTTAACAGGTGAAAAAGCCGAGAACTTAGGGATCCACTTGGTCCCAGTTTGCTGTGTCTTAAAAGAGAAGCAGGGGCTCCCCACGAGCCGTAGAGGAGAGATGACTGCCATTCCGCTCTTGTTGTATTCTCTCTTCTTCATCGGAGATATCACTCTCAGCAGCAACCTAAAATGATCGCCGTTGAAACTGTGGGGAGACGTGTAGATGAACTGGAATCTGTTCAGACACAACTCATCTGCATGAGTACTCGGCGTGGCCAACGTGAGCAGCTTCAGTCTGCGTGCAAGTGAAACCCAACGTCTCACTGCAAGCACTGCGATATTACACTGACTACAGACAGCCGGAGCAAACCAACCGATGCCATGTTGTTTGTCCCGAGGAGTTGCAAGTTGGCCCGAAATGATGACAAGAGAAAAGAATCAGAAAGAAGCGCAGCGACTTCATCCACAAGCAACTTGCACATCAGATCAGCTCTTTTCACACGTCCGAAATGGATTCGAGAGGATGCATCAATCTATGAGTCAACTGCCAACCAACAAATCGCATCTGGGGTATCATCACGCAGCATTAATGGTTGCACCCACTGCATTGCGCTGTCCGGAGAGATAACACCAGGAAGCACCCAGCAAGAGAGATGATTCGAGGACTGCTGCTTCTAGGTTTCAATGCGCCTTTGTCAGTTGCCAGATTCATGTATGTCGGTCGTAGCGGTCGTAGATCCGTATGTCTTAGCTTAACTTGATTCAACCCCAAACCCTGTTCATCATATGATCCATCTCATACTAGACATGGAGCATGTGATTGGGTACGGTATGCTGCACCTGGAGCACAATCTTTGGTGCAGCGTAAGGAACTCGAGCGGGAGCGTATTTGTCGCCTTGCTGCTCTTCTTCCATGTCGGGCTTGCTTTTTGATTCGTAAACAATTTACTCTCGTAGTTTAACAGGTTCTGCCATGATTTCATATGCTGTCATCTGCCAATTACCACTAGGATTTGTGGAGTGGGTGAAAAGGGGCACGTGAACGCTGCAATCAATCGACTTTACAGGAACAGAAAGAATAAACTTTCTGCGCTCGTATTCCGTGACCTGTCCTTCAATCATTCAGCCATGTTACGGGCCCCACCTAAAGAGGCACCCGACGTCGTCTTCTGCCCATGAACCCTAATCCATCACCCTTCCTGCTACAGGAGAGGAAACACTGTGCGTTTTTGTCGTGGAGCTGATGCCATTTCCCATTCTTGTATCTCGTTTCAGGACCAAGACAAGTAGAACAAACATTCCATGACGCATCCTTGGCACCTTGTGCTTGTGTTAGTGCTACCCATTCCTTTCTAATGCCCGACCGAGCACTGGTCTCTAGATGCTTACAGGAGGCCATGGACTCTTCCCTCCATCATCCTCTGCTTCCTTTTGCCGTTCATAGATTCCTAACACCATCGAGTTACTAAGGATCGAGAGTAGAGATCATATACCTTCTGATCCCTTGGATCATTAAATGAATCGAGCACGAGACGATGGGCATTGGGAAGAGCACATTAAACGGGGTTGGTGTAGCCATGTGAACATGCCCTCCCTGCTCACAGAGGCAGAGATTTAAACCATTAGGTGCTGCATCATTCTTTACAGCGGGTTGGATCTCATCCATCTGCCATTTCCCGAGTCAGCGAGCGAATCAGAAGGCACGAACAGATGATGAAGAGCCGGAGTTGGAAAGATGGGCGGCAGGTGAAGATTCCAACAGAAAAAGGAGGGCTCCATGCCGAGGGCCAAACTCCAAGCGGCTTGCCTCATCGGTGAAACAGTAAGCCACTGATGTGATAAGGGATCGAGAAGAAAAATGGAGTCATTTCGTTATCAACTTTTCTTCAATTGAATTTGATCTGATATTTCTCTGTCATTCCAACAAAAGACTCCTCTCGAACAAGGAAACTGCTGTCCTCAGACTGGTGAATTCAGGTCACCGATCATATCATGATATTAGCTCTGTTTTCTAGTGGCATCGGGGACTGGAAAGTAGAAACACCCCAAATTTTACGCAAAGACTTGACTGCTGAAAGGAAATTACAGTTTTAATTCTGACAGTCATAAAAACTATCAGAGAAAGTGACACAGTGTTAAGTCCCTGGAACTTTAAACTTGCACTGGTTTGGATGAATCTGTGCTCATGTCATTGCTGAGACTTCATGGCCCGTCGTAAGAGAAGGTTTTACGTCACTTGCTTTTGAGTTGTCACATAGACTTCATGCTATTCCTCTCAGCTTCCAATCGTCACATCACATCGCTTTCTCTTCGATTAGCATTTCCTCGAGCAACTTCGCATCCTCTTCATAAGTAGCTTCTGCCAGAAATGATCGAGCATGACGATGATGCTGGAAGGCATTAATTACCAGTTTCAAAGAATAAACTAATAGAAGAGAAGAAATGTGGGTACAATAGCCGTCCCTCCTGTCTTCGTCCAGGCCTTGGCCCAGCACATGAGATGGGCTCTGAAGGACGTTAAATCAAGATAATACAAATGATACACGATGGAATTGACCATGCTCCTATTAATTTAGAACAATATTGGATCATAAGCAAGAGTTGTCGTATATAAGTTAATCATAGTCATTACCCATTTTCGATTTGGGACTAAGTGAAATGTTACATTATCTCCCACTCAATTAGCTTGACGTTCTCGTACCCAACATAACCCAGATCGAATCCTAGCATAGTGCATGTGAGGTTTAATTCAGTGGTGATTCTACGTTATGATGAGTTATCTGACTCCATCCACAAATAATCTTTTTTTACTCAAAAAAATGCTCAAATATTAGGTCGGTTCTAATATCAAATACGAGTCTGATGAGCCTACGGAAGGTCCAATAATAGCATCGACATATCCATATTAATAGACCAGCTTGAAAAGCCGACATCAGCGAATTGGGTAGAACAAACCTGAAGTCCGGCCCAGCCCAAAGCACAGAAGAAACAGACAAACCCAGTTCCACTAACTCAATCGGGAGGAGGTGGAGCGATCTACGAGATACCCAACCCCGCCGACGCCCACATTCTCTGGATCACTGAGCTGTCATCTGCGAGATGACAAAAATGAGTAGTACTGCTGTGGCGGATAAGGGGGAGGTGGTGGTGGTGGTGGTGGTGGGCCTGCGCCTGCGCCATTTGATGTTGTTAGCTGCCGCAAGAGATTCCACAGGCTTTGTCGCTTTAAGGTTTGATGATTGGAAGAGGAGAGACGGAGATAGACATGGACAGAGAGAGAGAGAGAGAGATAGAGAGAGAGAGAGAGAGGTTCGATGATTGCAAGAGAAGACAGCGATCAACAGACGAGAGCTAGCAGACATGTAGAGAGAGACACACAGCGCGTTCCATGGTTGTGTGTCTGCGTAGAGACATGTAGTAGGGAATCAGCCGCGTTCCAACCACTGCCCTCTGCGTTGCGTGTGCAACACGTCTGCGGCCTCCGTGCATCCCCCACATGGGCATGACCACCAGATCCAACAACACCCCGCGTGGTCCCTTCGCTCCGCTGCTCGCGTTCCTTCTTTTGTAGAAAAAACTAGGGATCGGGGAGGAGTTCTTCCGGCGCCTGCGGTCGCCATCGCTGTTGCAGGGTGAACACTTCCGTAAGCGTGTACATGTTAGCCAAGGGACCAACCCCACGAAGGAAGGAAGGAAGGAAGGTGACTTCGCTATCTCTCTTTTCTCGCCCATCTTTTTCCCTTGTTCACTTCATCAGTAAAATCGTGATCATGCGCTCCCCCAAATTCTTCTTATTTTTCTGACTCTTTTTATTCTTGTTCTGTTGGATCAGATGACTTGACATTGCATCGACGGTGGCGGGCTCCACCTGTCAAGAAGCCTTGGTTGACGCCATGGACGAGCTTCTTGATGTCAGCTCGAACCATGGGCCCTACCATTTTAGCTAGGTAAAGCTTGGCCTTTTGTGGAGTAGCCTGAAGACAAAGGAGACAGCATCATGGGACATAAATTAATCGACAACAACAGTGTGTGTGACATTATATGAATTGCTAAGTCACGATGAGAACAAAAAAAAAAAGAGTTATAATACATATATTCCGCACATTATTTCACATCATCACCAATAAATGCAATCGTCATTTTCTAATACTTCCAACACTGAGGTCATGTATGTATGACATTTGAAATTTGAATTTAAATATATAAACTGCTTAAATGAAAAGCGATAATAAGGTTGAGGGCACCCACACACTCTCCAGAGATGCTGAAGCGACGGTGGCGCCGTTGGCAATGGGAAGGGTTTGGTGCGACGGAAAGAGAGAGAGAGAGAGAGAGAGGAAGAGGGCGAACGGCCATGATGGCTGAGCTAATGATGTGGTGGACATTAGTGCTGCTGCGCCACCAGCAACCAATGCCAACGACTGTGAGCAGTACGAAGGCAGGGAGAAGAGAGAGGAGGAGGCGGATGAGGACAAAAGGAGGAATGTCTCGGCAGCAGCAAAAAGACAAACCCAGCACAGAACCAACGAGGCCCACATTCCTTACCCTTCCCCCGCCTCTCTCTCACGCCCCCCACCCAACATACGATCCAAAAAAGGGAAAAAAAAGGGAAGAAAAGGAAAAGAGGAGGCGAGAGAGAAGGGGGAAGTGCCTGCTCTTCTTCTTCTTCGTCTTCTGCTGCTGCTATGGCGAAGCTCAGGAGGAAACCGGTCCTCCCGTCCGCCGACTCCAATGACGAGAGTGACCCCCGCCCCGGCGCCTGTGGCTACGGATCTGCGAGGGCGTTTTCGTCAATGTAGCTCCCCCTTCCCCCTCAACCCCCTCACCGATGGAAGGCAGACAGGATGGAGCCAGGCAACGCGGAGTAGAGCGGGCGAGTACGAAGAGAGGGGGGGAGCCGTCTCTTCTTCGTATGTACGTACGGGTTGGTATACGGACGATCGGTCATGGTGTACTAATTTCTCTTTCTTCCCTTTTCCTTTGCCAAGAAAGAAGACAAAGGAAGAAGAACATGTTTCCGCTAGTATTAGCGCTTTCGTTAGTGTGGATTTCTTGATGGCTTATCGTCGTCATGTTGTTCGAACCCCTCCTTCGATGGTGGGATTGTTTCTGACATGCGCGAGATATTTGTTAGCTTCCCCTTCGTTTATCTCTTCTTCTGCCTCATGATTGTTTCTGTAGATGGAAATAGTGATGGCTGCGAGGTTTTGTTGGGGCTGGACGCCGATTTGGTCATCAATCAATGACCGGCGTCCTTCTCGGTGTAGGTGCTGGTATTGGTGATTCAATTGCTTGTTCTTGTTTTCATACTTTTTTTTAAAGGGTTTCTTGTAAGATTCTGCCCTTTCGTCTTCCATCTTGAATCCCAAACCTAACTAGCTTTTAGCAGCAATTTGTAGTCGTAATCACTTGTATTGATTTGTTGTCGATTACATCTGCTTATTTGTTGTTTAGGAGATTACATGTGTCCTGATCTGTCTTTAGAACTTGGATGATGAAAATGCTCTAGCAGCATTTAATGCATGAAGAACTTATGAAGAATCTTGATGTTCACTGTATATTTTTTGTTTTTGGTAAGAGTAAACATATGTTTAAGAGCATTTAGATTGCCCTAGTTGTATTAGAAGCATCTGGAGCAGTGTTCTTCAAGAGATATCCACCATGGTATTTTTGTATGACCCAAATATAGGATTAGATGTGGTCAAACATTTTGGGGGGAAGAAGGTTAGAAGGTATGGTTGGTGGAGTGGAAGAACCAATGTGAACTGATGAGCTTCGGGGATATTTGTTGCTTACATGAATGGGACATCTGGGACAAGTTTCAATATATTTACATATATATATATATTTTTTTTTCTGAATTTGGGGGGTCATTTTTGCCACTATTGCTTGATTGTAGTCCAACATCAAGGCCGATCCTGAACATGATCCGAAGCCTCCAAAACTTGGGTCTATTTTATTTTGCTTATCGGATATCCGAAGCCTCCAAGTTTGTCTATGCTGTTTGGTATTATTTAGAGCCATAATCTTCTGTTGCTTCATGGGAGATGACCCTCATATCTACCCTTGTGATCACAAAGTTTGTCTTTTCATCAACTTATTATCATTTCTCGGGTATGTCTCTTTATATCTTGCTTCTTTCCAGATAAAATGTTACTCGTTCTTTCGAATGAGGAGGATTAATTTAGCTTTCGTGTCTCTGATGCTAGCAATGATGGGAACAAGAGGTGTATAATCTGAGATGCAGGAGATGCATGTCTAATGGACAAAACACCAACTAATATTGTGCATGGGCATGCAACAGAGGTCCAAGGAGATGCCTTAGAGACCATGTGCACAAGATTTGAGTGTTTGTTGATGACCATTAAAGAGAAAGAAAACATCCGAGAATATGTTGTATTGTGGAAACACCAGTTGTAACCATTGCTTGGTAACCGATAAAGTTCCTCTTTGTGTGAACCTTGACATATATATTTCTTGATGAATAGTTTGAGACTAGTAGATAAAATATCCTTCTGTGGTTTGGTCTTGTTGAAAAACCTGATTTCCTGTCGAAAGGATGTTACAATTTGTTAATTGTTATGTTTATTAGAAAGCCCGGTGGGTTCTTAGCAGTTTGTTGGATGTGTGCTAGGCATATTACTGGGTAAATTACTTGTATGCTCTTGAGGCTAATCGAAAAGAATAAGGTACTTTTTTTTTATTCTGGGAACAATTAGCTGCAGTTTTCACAGTTTGTATCGGATGTGCTCATTTTTATCTGTTGATTTTTCCCTGTGCAGATCCTGCTGTCGATTTTGGTCCAATGGATGCTAGCTTTTGTGATAAAATTTTGTTGATGTTTAAGACAATTGCTAAGGATATATGCTGATGGCAGAGATTAGCGCTACTATGTCAATTATGTTTTTCATTCTCACTTTAGAGGCTGTTTTACTGGTTGGAATGAAGTCTTTCCACTTTGTGATTCCTTAATGATCAAGTAATGAAGACTTTTTTTCTTTCAAATGTGTAATTTGTGATGAACTGACAATGTGAGATACATACCTAAATCGAGTGTCTTTCCTAAAGAGAGGGCAGACAGTGCACCAGATTCCCTCATTGGAGCTGACTTGTTGCTTCTTCTATAGAACAAACCATGATTTTTGGTAGAGAGTATAACTTGCTTATAGCTAAGAGACTAGTCTTAGTATTCATGTAAGAGGTTACATGAAGGCGTCATAAGCCGGATTATTCTTTGCTGCAATTGTGGTCATTTCTGTCGATAAAATTTGTCGATTTAGATTCTGTTCGGGTACGTGTGATGTTAATAAATCTGCAAATTCCAGATGTTGATTTTGATTTGAATACTAGCATATTGAGTGTGCCAAATATTTTGTTTAATCAACATGCATCAGCCAATTTTGTTTGCTCTTCCTTTACTCTGACTTTATTCTCACTTTTCATGGTTTGTGAAAGAGGATATTTTTTTTCTTGAGAAATTATTGGGAATATTGTGTGGAGTTTGGAGGTAATCCATCATAAGATAGATAATGAATTTTGCACCTATTAACTCTGGAATTTACTATGATTAGATTATCTGGGTAGCATTTACGAATCATAAGTGCATTTACTATGAGTCAAATAGTTCGTTCTTATGTTTACATGGCTTAGTTAGTCTTGAGAAGCATACGACTACTGGTAACCCGGTAGCATGTCCTCGTTAGTAGGAGGAGGTAATCCATTAAAAGAATATAAAGACTATGAATGTTGCAGATAGAAAGGTAATTTTGAGTTTGTTGCAACCTCTAATTAAGCTCTATAATTACTACGAAAGGCTATCATCCGTAAGCAATGTTAAATGAAGTCAATTTCGAGGGGCTGAGTAGATTATACAGGTGGCATGTTCTACGTATTTATCGTCGACGGTCGTTATTTGTATATATAAACAAAATAAATATTATTATAGTTTACATGCTTTCGTTGAGAGTCGAACTCAAGACCTCCCGCTTACTAAACGGGTGCTCTAACCAACTGAGCTACGAAAGCTTGATATGTAATGGGAGATATGAATAAATATATATATATAATTAAATAATACTGAAACTCCGCCATTTATTCAAATTAAAACCAATGCATTATCATTTTGGATTTTTTTTTTCTTTTTGTTTCCATATAAAATTTTAGATGACTTTGTCAAAAAGATCTCCGTGATCTCTTAATTGAGTCTGATAAGGAGTCAAAAAACAAAAAAAAAAATTACTTCATGCTGAAACGACAACAATGCATCCTCATTAAGATGTCTCGTATCCAAAAGTGATCAGTATTAGGTGCTTACATAAATCACATATTTTTTAATCTATAAAAAGGAAAAAAAGGCAAAATAAGTATATTTATTGCTAGGAGAAAAAAAATCTTTGGTGTCTTGATTAGTCCACTTACACGTTACCTTCAAGATGGAAACATCAAGCTCCTGAGGTGCCACATATACAAAAATCGAGATCGAAAGTGATTTTCCGACTTAGTATGGATGTGAATGATCAAGCAAAGTCATCTAAAAATATAAGTTTGTCCCTTTTTATAATTTTCAAGATGAGTATTTAAAACTGGTTATAAGTTATTAGGAGAGTTACTCCGTTATCTCCTAAAAAATCATATTTTAATTGAATTTTTTTTTTATTGATCAATAATCATAATCAGAATCCAATCATATCTATAATATATCTTACTTAATTAAATAAGATTATATAATCAATCATATCTATAATATATTTCCTATCCCTAGTGTATACATTATTTTCCTTGCTTCTCTAGCACGTAGAGATTTCAAGCTTCTACAAAAGGAAGGTTTGCACCGGATGACCGTCGATCCGAATAGCACATCACATTGTGCGACATAGCTATTATCTTTTATCAGTAGTAATAATAATAATAATAATAAGCTTCCTCAGTGCGAAACATATTATAATGTCCAACCAAAAAGTACGTTTAAACGCGGCCATGACCTACGGCAAAAGGTCAACCAGGTGGTGGAAGTCTGACCGTTGAATTTGATTCCTCTTCACGCCTTTGAATCTTTCCCCCTTTTCCTCGAAGTCCTTTCCTTTGCCCCAAAGGAAAGCTGTCCATTTCACGCACCACCGCGTGAATCAAGCTCACGCAAGAGGCGTATCTCCTTACGTTATCTTAGCCCTCAAGTCATGCGGCATCACGAGAGTCGGTTCCCAAGGCGTTTCCTAAATGACCATCCGCCCACCGTTTACGTGTCAATCGTAGGCTTTTCCTTTCCGATATCGGATTCGTTTTGCTCCGAGAAGAGAAAAGACGGCTCTCTTCTTCTATTTCGTCTCTTATTGGCTGAGGAGAGGGGTAAATAAGTCAATTCGATCAAAATTTCCTCAACGGCCCCGATAGAACCGACATTACTTGGAGCAAACCGCTATAAATGATGAAGGGGGCGACCTAATCCTAACGCCTCATCTTCTTCTCACGCGCCCGTTCGCTCCGCTGCGGCTTCTTCGCCCCATCGATGGATCTATCGAACCCTCGCTTCTCGACTGCGACAAGGTTGGCCGCCGACGTTGAGCCCGCGCCCACAGATATGGCGTCTGCGGCGATCTTGTTACGGCAATCGAGCAGTTTGACGATCCGGGAGTTCAAGAACTACAAGAAGAGCGCCGCCCCGTCGAGGTTCTTGTTCTTCCGAGACGGCTCGTGGGCCGACTTCCCTCCGGCGGTGTTCGACGCCCTCCGGGAGGGATTCGTCGCCGGGAAGACCGCCTTCGAACTGACAGTCGAAGGGCGCCCCTACTTCTTCGATGTCCTCGAGATGTTGCAGGTCGATCTGGAGACCGGCACGGTGAACTCCATCGCCTGGATCGATGTCCACGGTCGATGCTTCTTCCCGGCCGTGGGTGTCGACGAGCGGAGTATCTCAGCCCTGCCCAATCCAGAACCAGAGATTGAATGCAATCCGGTCGGGTTTTGGCAAGAACAGAGTGGCGAAAGCAGTGGCGAAAGCAGCGACGAAACCTCCGCGACCTCTAGTTTGGACCAACCGAGGTGGCCCGGAGCGGAGGCAGTGAGGGATGGGGACAAGTACTTCAAGATCGTAGAGAAGTTGTTCCTTTCGGGCTTTCGGCGATTCGCCCCCAACACCATCGTCACTTCGATCCACAAGTGCTCGCAATCCGGTCCCCTCCGCGCTTCCCGGTTGAAAACCTTTCGGATGCATGTGGAAATGACTAAAGCCGCCCGCGGCGACGCCAACGTGAGATTTGGCTGGTACGGAGCGTCGGCGACGGAAATGGCGACCATCGTTTCCCACGGCTTCGGGCAGCCCAACAACAGGAGCCTGGCTTCGGGCGCCCGCGGCGTCGGCGTCCACCTCTCCGAGCCACATTCGCCATACTTGAGGTCAGCCCTAATCACCCGCAACTGAATTCGGAGAACCTATACGACCATCTCACTTTTGGTGTCACTTTCAGTTCTCTGTCGACGGACGCCGACGCCAGCGGCGAACGGCACATGGTGCTGTGCCGGGTGATCGTGGGGAGGCCCGAGATGGTGGAGGAAGGGTCGGTCCAGTATCACCCCAGCAGCGAGGAGTTCGATAGCGGCGTCGACGACATCGCACATCCGACATGGTATGTGGTGTGGAGCACCCACATGAACACACACATACTCCCCGAGTCTATTGTGAGCTACAAGCCCTCAACAACGCAGCCTCAAGGTACGCATACTCTCTGATGCCTGTGTTGGCTTCGGCAGTGGACTTTCGGTGAACAGTTGGTGTGGCGTGTGATTAGGTCCTCCGCAGTCGGTGAATTCGGCAAGAAATCCTGCTTTAGACATCTCGATTCCTCGGCTGCTGGAAGAGTTGGGGCGGTGTCTTCCAGCCTCGTCGACAGCACCTTTGCAGATGATCTTTAAGCAGTACATGGTGAAGCACAATTACAATCAACTTATCGACTTGACATCTCTTATGTAGTATTCTTTGGTAATTCTTTTTTGCCCTTTTGTCCATTGTTACAGGGAAGGAAGATGAGCAAGAAAACTTTTTTCAGATGCATTAGGTCGATAACGGGTGACGAAGTACTGATTTCTACAATCAAGAGAATGAGAGGGCATTAGGTCTATAACGGGTGACAAAGTACTGATTTCTACAATCAAGAGAACGAGAGGATACTGATGTCAATCAAACAATAAGCTTCAGCTTTGCATCCCACAGTGCTGTGCGTGCTGTGTGATACAACTGTTGAATCATCTTACTAACCTTCTTAGAGCTTTTCTGCTTCTTTGTGAGAATTTTTTCGTATGTAAAATTTCCTTTGTGGCAATTTACTAGGAAGTGTATGGTGATGTATAATCGTGAAACCTGGATATTTTGGCTCCCTACTATTCTTGCAGCTATATGCAAAAATACAAAGAGAATCTTTGTAGTTGAGGTATCATTCAGATGTGTAATTTGGCAACATAGCAGGTTGAGCAAACATTTCAAGTGACATCTGAGAAACAATCACACAGCAAAGAATTCTTGAGCAGACATTTAACATATTTGGAATGATAGGGCATATCATATACAACATATCAACAATTGTCTAATGATCATCCATCTTAGCAAATTGAGGTCCACCATTTATATGTGTCACATCATATATTGGATATATTTTGACATCTTGGAATGCGATTACAAAATGTCAATGCAATTCAGTTCACATGTGGAGTCACCTGAGAGAGTCTTTCATCTTCCAGGAGTGTGTATGGATCTATGTATGGTGGCGGCAACACTGGCACCTTGCTGGCATCATGCACGAAGCTTGGACCAAGATACTGCAGGCAAATACAATATGCAAATTAATTTATCCACCATCTCAATTGCAGAGCACAAGACTAGCAAAGCATTTAAACAAGAGTTCCAATTTCTCAGTTCATTGTGTAAGAGCCAATCCTGATGGAATATTGTATCAGTATTGACAATTTTAAGCATTTTATTACATGTTATCAGATAAATTTGAGTTAGTTTATCAGCCACCAAATTTAATTAGGAAAACTGTGTTTCCACAATAATCTAGGAAGCCGAAAATAAATGTATCAGATTGTAGCTTTCAACATGACCATAGTGGAGCATCAGAAATCTCAACATGCAGCAGCAGTGATTATTTCTCTCTCATTTTACTGTTTTCACTATAATCTAAAGTAACACCATAATTTGGATTTGTACATCCAAAGTATCATGAGGGGCGAAGCATGCACACCCTTCTGGTCAGTTATCTGTTCAACAAATGTTAATAGCAAAATGGCAACAGGTTATATCAGACCACTCTGCTCCTCAGATCATCTTACATTTTTCTTAACTCCTAGCGGTAGAAGTTTGGAAAAAATTCCTTCTGCGTTGCACATCTTCTCAGTACTTGGTAATCAACCAATACACATTAAAACTTTTTGCAGGATGTTGTCATAGTTGGAAATGCACTTAACCAGGATGATAGTCATGATCGGTTTATTCGATGAATTCGTTAGTTTAGTTGCTATTATTGAGAACAAACTTTTTGCCCTAGTATTGGATTTTTGCCAACGTAGTCCACTTTGCTGAGCCGATGAGGACGAGGAAAGGCAGAATCACAATCTGGAGATGTCCTACTGGGCAGGGTGTGCTACATAAGTGGGTACCACTTGCCACTTAACTAAATTATAACTTTTGAACACTCATCAACTTTACATTTTCACCTATCGATATTTGAGAAAATTTGTGCACCCTATGCTCTGTAATAATCAGAATCATAATAGAGTTCTAGGGTTATAGAAGAGACTCAAGAGGAAAGTAACAAGGAATGCGTTCTTATCAAATGTGACTTCTAAAAGAATTAAAATCTGGAAATGTTCTCACCAGATATCTTAAATGGGAGAGGAACTACAAGGTGACCCTTATGGGGAGCAGGAGTGCCTCCTGGAGCTTCAAGTCATGCGCATATGGTTCTTTTGTAATTCTTAAAGAGTAATGCATGATGGAAGTGGGAATGACATAAACCCTCTTTGCTGTTGCACCAGTCAGTGACCCTTATGGGGACTAAGTTTGTGGTGTCTAAAGCATTGCTCATTTTTGAAAGGCTCCATGCATGCAGTTATCAGATGTTAAATTTGAAAGTATAGAGTTTCCTATTTGTCAAACTATAAGAGTCTAGACATGGTTCCTCATGTGATCTGCCTACCCTAGAGAATCAATTTTCTTAAGTGGTGCCTTAGACCCCAAGAAAAGCTGCCCCAAAAAAGAAGTCCTACTTACAGTTGGTTCAAATGACATCATCCTCCTTTTGAGTTTAAGGAAAGAAGATCTTAAAAAGATGTGAATCTGCATTCTATCATCAATCTTATAGATTTGATGGAAGATATCAAAGCAATTATCAGTATTCAATGAGGAGAATAAAGGGAGAAGATTACAAGGACTGTGTGATTTTTAGTTTGAGAATTTATCAATTTTAGATACGTTTTTCTTTTAGATCTAAGATAACAATATAGTTAATAAATCAAATATCTTAATGTTTTCACTAACCAAAATAATTTATTACCAAATCAGATTTCTAGTACATATTATCATTAATGATTGTTGTAGCCATTTTAAGGCAAATTTCCATCCAAGCAAATATTTATTTTCATCCAATTAATTAGAATAAAGCATGTGTACACTAAAGGGTCACCCTCAAATAATGCTGTGCCAGCCACTGTTTACTAATAGGTTATGTGATAGATGTACTTTTTACTATACACTTCTATTTTATGTTACTTGACAGATTTTCATACATGTTTCTTGCTAGATTTTGAAACAACTAAATATGATTCTGATTCAATGTTTAACTGCACAATATTAACAGGAGCATTTTGTGGAAGTCCCAGAACAAAATGGAAATGCAGAGCAGGAATAAGTTGAAATCTTACAATGTACAGAGCCAGAAAAAGCCCCAATGTAATCAGGATCAGAGGCCAAAATCCTAGAAAGAATGTTCCACCAATTGTCAGAAGCAGTTTGGCCCTTGGAATTAATCCCTGAGTGACAAAATATGTATTATTGTCAGAAATGATGGGGATGGAAAATATTTGCATCATCAGTACTAACACAGAACTGTTGAACACATCAATGGTCTTGGCACCAAAAGCAAGATTCAATTTGGAAAGCATAGATAGAAGATTCTTCTAGATTTGAAAAATAAATGATTCTTCTCTGCTGTGCCGCACTATACTTCCAACAGATTGCTTGCCTGGCTTAGCATTTGTAAATTCTATGGCCATCAGTAATCATAATCATACTAAAATTTACAAGCGCAAGATTTTCTACTGGATTTAGCTATTTTAGTAGTAAGGACGTTAAATGATGACCATATGACCAGCTGAAGATGTTAAAAGTATGAAGGTGAGAACACTTTCTCTTGGAAGAAATAGAAGACCCAGTGAGAAATAATGGCATTGAGAATCCCTCTCTCAGAAGAATTAGAATACCTAGTAGCAACTTAAGTGATATTCTATATTGTGGAATACAATCTCTTCATTTTTTTTACAGAAGGTCTAAGCAGCACTAACGAGCTTAAACTGCTTTCAGGATCTGTGAGGAAGACAAGTTAGATAGCTTATATAACAGGGAATCAGGTTCTAGCCAAAAAGCAGTATGGTGTTGTTCTTCATGGGAAGAACTATCGTAATGTCACGGACAAATATGTAAACTGAGAGTTTGATGTAATGTTTGTATATATCCATGTCTTTCGGTTTTATTCATGTTTTGCACAGCATGTAGAGGGTTTGCAGTAGGCTTGATAGCCCCATTTTGATTGGCTTTTGTGGTTGTTTTAGTCTTGTAAATACAGGTTGTGTACAATCATCACACAAAGGCAAAACTACCTAGAAACAAGCTATCTAGGTAGTCATTTTAGGGGTTTTCTAGCTCCGTAGAGTGATGTGGATTGTTAGCCAGCATAGCACCAGGAGCTACTTGGGTGGCACATGGCTGGATGGTCCTTTAGGGTAATATCTAGGGTTGGTGCGTTATCTTACTCCGCAATAGTGTCATGTGGACACTTGTGGGGCCTTTTGTCTACGATGGACCACCTTAGACCCTTTGACATGCGACCGTTCAAAGCTTGCGAAGTCTATGTTTGTAATTTGAATTGTCTATCAAGTGTTTGCTAAAATGACTACTTGTGAATCCCGAGTTAAATGTTTCCTCTAACTCGTCTTCTTTTTTGCAAATTCTTAAGGGACTATAAGAGGTTTCGAGGAAGCTGACCCTTTGTAGACATATATGCAAGGGTGCCGTATGGCTTAAGCAAAACCAGCTAAGTCCATGACAATAAGTTACCAAAGCAGTTCTAAGCCATAAATTATCATCCTAGGCATTTATTATTTTAGTTATATTGATTCAAAAATCTACCTGACCTAAAAGGATGATATGGATGATAGACCAACAATAAAGCCAAGAAAATTTTACCATGATGGTATACAATCAAGAGATGTGGGAAAGAAGCATAAGAATGAACTCTTTAGTTCAAGCATAAAAATATATAAATGTATCTTATTACCATAATCATATCAAAACCGACGGATGCATCCTTAAGGATCAAGAGGTAATTCACTAGCATGCCAGCAACTACACTAAATTAACAACATAATTGAAACTGTACTTTTCAACCATGAAACTAATACAATAGGACAACTTTCAAAGATGGTATCCTTGTACTCACAACTCCAGTACCTACAACTAGATCACAAATGTTCCTATTACTATGTTCTCACACCAACAATAGACAGCTTGCTAACTGGGTATTATCATGACCAATATTTTCTTTCTAAGAGCTTGCTTCTTTTTGTATTTTATTAAAACAAGGCATCATAATTCTATTTGACATACAGATATGAATATGTCGCTGGAGGCCAGGATTTCTATGCCCTCATCTTTCTCGTATTGATCTTACTGACCGCATACAGAATTCAGGTCCCGCTTGTCCTCAAGGTACATACTTATTCTGCTACAAACAGATTATGACACCTGAAAGGTAGTGGGAAGCTTGCCATTTTTTCCAGGTAGAATTGCCAACCACACTAGAAGACATTGAAAATATATGGGAGAAATGTCAACCATACCGGAAGACTTGAAATGGCATTGCACCAAATTCAATCATACAAAAGCAATCTTCCATAGTATCTTTGGGTCAAGCCAAAACAATCCACTCTGATTCATGTGAATTAGCTAAAAGGCAGACTGTAGCGATAATCTGCAGTCTCCAACCGCCAAACGTATACTGACTACACACTGTGATTGGACTCTACATAAGCATGGCTCCTTGCTTTCCGAGATGACAAGAATTCAATCGACTTCCATATTCAAGTATAGAACTTGATCCTTCAAAAAAATATTAGACCCTCAAGTGGCAAAACACCGGGTGGGGTTTCGAAGATGAACAGATCATACTAAGATGAAAAAGGTTACTGTAGCTAGCTAGCAATACAACCATGCCATGGAGTCCAAGGAAAATTGAACAGTGTCATTCCACTGTCAGTCTTTCGTACTAAAGGAAAAGTCATTCCCGTGTTGCATAGTCTATGATCAGCAAGCCTTTCAGATTAGTTGAGTTGCTCTCCTGCTCATTCACCATCCAAATGATCGTGACCACAGCCATCACAACAAACACTTTCTTAACCAAATTACATGAAAAATTCAGAGAAAGCAACTCATAGGATGACAATATCAAAAGAGGGGAAAAAAAAGAACAAATTAAACGTAGCAATTCGAGTAATCAGTTCTTCAAGTATCAGTGTGAATACCGTAAATATCACTTCTTTACCCACAAGGTGGTCAAAGAAGGATAAAACCAAATCGTAATGACAGGGAAAAAGGAGGACAAGAAGGAAATGAGTGGTAACCTCGAGGCCCTCGCTATTCAACAACATGGACCGCTCCCTCTGGTTCGATACCGCCGTGTCGAGCTCCGCCGAGGCCACACCGTTCCTCTTTGTCCGCCCTATCCTCTCATCCCTACCGCCTCTGCTCTCTTCCTCCGATTCCATCGATCCGATCGACCCACCACCATCACCCTCCTCCAATAGCGATGTCGGGTTTATCCCCCTTCGCTTCAGCTCCTTCATGAACAACGACTCCGGCCGCTCGTCCCCTGAATCCAGCACCCAAAAGCAGAGAAAAACCGTGAAGGAACCGCGAAAAGGGCCAAGTGTTTGGGAATCGCCAAGATCAAGAACCGAAAGTAGACCACGTGCCGTTGGACTCGCCGCCGTCCTCCCGGAGGCGGCAGCGGAGGGAGAGGGCGGAGGGCCGACGGGGCGGCGGGCCGGACAGCCGGAGACGGAGCGCCAGCGAGAAGCCCGATCTGGCGAGATGGAAACTGGCCATCTCCGCTCCGAAGGGTTTCGACTAGCGGAAGAAGAATGGAGGCGGTGCGATGAATGGAGCGGGCGCGGGATCAGATCACCGCCGGTAATGGTGACCGTACAAGCGGGCGTACGCAACCGCAGAGAGAGAGAGGCGAGGCGATAGCGGGCATTGGTTAACGGATAAGCCCGGGGGCTCTGCAATCAGCTGTCGGCACTGAGGCACGAAGTGGTCATTGAAGCATCTATAGTCGGTTACCATGATGGGACCCGCAGCATCTATTATAGGTTACATCGAAGCATCAATAGTTGGTCCCAGACGAATGGTCGTGCTATCCGTTGCTGTTCGGCGACGCGCGGAGGATTTGGGTTGTCTTCTCGATCGCTTTACCACTATTCATTCATTAATTTGTCGACGTGGACTTCTCGGGCACAGATAGAACGAGAGACAGCCGCCATTTGGGCGTCAGTCGGTTTGCGTGGGGTAGAACTGGCGGGCGCGGTGGCTTACGCGCCGCCATCCATGCATGTGGTAGTTATTGATCGGGCTTGGGAAGGCCAGTGGGTCGGAGTTTTGGGTTACCGAACCCGTCCGCTTGGTTTAAACCATATGAATTTATTAGGCCTAAAAAAACATAGGTATTTGAAAATAAACGATATATTTAACTCGTTAATCGTAATATATTTGAAATAGTCCTCAAAATCTATTTTTTTAACCATCCACTTAAACACGGTGACGAACTCATAAGCTGACTTGATAGAATGTTTTTTCCAAAAAATTATTATTTTTATGTACTCGTGTACAAACACATTTTGTAGATTCCTAACTGGATTCTAGTTGAGATTGGTGGAATGGTCTTTTTTTTTTTTTGTTTTTGAACTTTCCAAATCTTCTATAACTTACCTATTTAAGCATGAAAAGAACTTTTTTTTGGTACGCTTTCAAGCGCATTTAACTGGTTGTCGTCTTTCACTTGACGCTACCATGCTATATAACTACCACGCTACCATACTACATTTTGCATGCGCATGCGAGTTCACGTCCCTCTGCTCGTGCGCATTCGGCATCGAAGCAATCCGCTATCCGATCCACTCGTGCTCATTGCATTCGTTTGAGATTGTTTCTCACTCTCTTTTTTTTTTTGTCCGCTTCGTCAAAGGATATAACATTATTATTATTATCCTTTATGCCGTAGTCTGAGAGTTGAGTCAGTTTAATCCTGATCATGTTAGAGTGTCTACATAGACGTTTCGAGACGGAAGGCAAGGTCGGAGTGATAATCCTGAATGTCTCTTGGGCTGCTCGAGGGGAAGCTGGGATTACCTCCAGAACTGAGTACCTGCACAACAGGTTGATGCTAGGAGGGGGATTTCCGCTCAATCCCTCCGAAACTAAAATTAGTTTTTGTGATAGTATTGAGTGTTTGAGCTCCGACCCCGACAATAGTTAGAGAGTCATGTTTTATACCTCTTTCTGAGGGTCGATCGTATGCAGATTGTTAATTGATCGTCGACACTCCAATCGGTTGGTTCGTTTGTCCCAAATGGCATAGATCGATTGTTTTCATTTCAAGTCGCACGAGGCTACTTCGTATGATCTCGGGCATGGTTGTGCATCGTTCCCGAGTTTGCTACGTCGCTTTGAATCCACTACATCACTTCAAAGTCATTTCGTGCATGTGCGTTACGTCGACTCTAAGACACCGTATTGATTCCGAGATAATTATCAACTATCACTGTAAAATAATAATGAAATATTCTCTATCAATCATCATCATCATAAATGTCCCAAAGTCATCTATCACTGTTGAAGTTCCAAGAATAATTGCAACCAGTCATGTGAGAATTTAATCGTGACTTCCATATACCACCACGACATTAGGTTAGATTGCCGGAAAGAAACGACCACATTACGAGGGCGTATAGGTAACTCGAATCGGCATGTAAAGGGTCGCTTGCAGTAATTGGGAAGTTGGAATCGCTTCCAAGCGACGGATGCAGCGGTTCCCAGATGTTGACAGTTAGAATGAGGAAGGTGAACGGCCGTGAGATCACGGCACACTATTGATTTAGAGTGACGAGAGAAGGGCAATTATGTCCACAATAAATAAATAAATATATAAATATATTACTTCAAAATTAAACATATTAATCCTCGTAAAATTGATTTGGCTCGCCGATTCCTCTCCTCAATATATACATGCACGAAGTTATGTACATTGAATTATTGAAATAGATGCATAACATCTATAGTCACATTAACTAATCTCCAAGGCTGTTGAATCTTTTTCTTGAGGATTTTTATGATCACATCTGCTTTAATGCGTCACTTTATTACCACAAATTTCAATTTTTTTGGTATTAATTTCTAAAATTAAAGGGTAAAAATGGTCTCTTAATTGAGTCACCAAAATATACATAAGGCGAGAGATGTCGATCGCGTCGTAAGTCGTTGTTGGCTCGAACCAACGGATAGTCGGTCCACGGTAACGGCGTCCGAGATTTCCTGTGCGCTTTCTTCTTCTCCACCATCGCTCTCGTCGCCACGCGTGCGGAAATCTTGACGCCCCACTCTCCTTCCAACTGCCGCTAACTCGACTCCTCTTCGACCTAATTGCCTCCTCGAATTCCTTCGGATGTCGACGGCGGACGACAGGACCGCCGATGGCTCGACGACGCCCCGCCGCGGCCGCGTGTGCTTTTCCTTCGCCGCCTACGCCAAGTCCGTCGTCGCCCACCTCTGCTCCTCCGGTGTTCCTGTCGTCCCCGGCCTCTCCGACGCTGAATTCGCCGCCGTCGAATCCGCCTACGGCTTCGACTTTCCGCCCGACCTCCGCTCCATCCTCTGCGAGGGCCTTCCCGTCGGCCCCGGCTTCCCCAACTGGCGCTCCGCCTCGTCGCAGCAGCTCCGCCTCCTACTTGACCTCCCCGTAGCCGGTCTCCTCCACGAGATCGCCGCGGGGAGCTTCTGGCCTCGGGCCTGGGGCCCGCGACCCCGGGACCCTCAGGTCGTCGCAGCCGCGAGGGATGCCCTGCACCGGGCCCCGCCACTCGTCCCTGTCTACCGGCACTACTACGTGTCGACCGCCCCGAGCCTCGCGGGGAACCCGGTGTTCTACGTACGTGGCGGCCACGTCCGGCTCGCCGGGCTCGACCTCCCGGACTTCTTTCGGCGCGAGCGGCCGCGGGGGTGGGCGGCGGGGGTTCCGGCCCCCGCGTGGGCGGCCACATCCGCGAGGAGGGTGGAGGTTTGGACGGAGCTGGCGGAAGGGGAGACGACAGTGGAGCGGCAGCGCGGCGTTTCGCCGTGGGAGACGACGGTGGAGCGGCGGCTAGGGGAGGCGAGGCGTCGGCTGACGGAAGGGGGGTGGAGCGACGAGGAGGTGAGGGAGATGGTGGCGGCGGGACCAGAGTCGGACGACGGGGACCGGGCCTGGTCCTCCTCGGCCGTGAACTCGGTGGTGCCGGTGCTGAGGGACCGGGAGGGCGTGTCGCGGCAGCTGCAGCTGCTGTCCCTGCGGCTGCTCCGCGGCGGGTGGAGCTACGACGACGTGGTCGATTCGATGGGGTGGACGCGCTCCGAGGCTGCGGGTGGTGAAGTGACGATTGGACCCCGCACAAAGGAAGCACAGAAGCATGGCAACCGCGGATGACGGAATTGTGAATAATACTTAAAAGAGCTTGGAATCCTTCCATTCTTTGCCGCAAGGGTAAAGAAACAGAGAGACAGAGAGAGAGAGTCACCTCAGTCCTTTTTTTATTTGATGTATATTCATCATATACTCCATGAAAGAAACACAAAGCCACAACTCCTCGCAGTTGCTAAGTATTCCTCTTGCCTTTACTCTCGTTAAAACAGCCATGTGGCGTGCAGTAGGTCATCCGATGAGAAGGGCATATGACAAGTCTCGTGGGGTGAAAGACACATCATGGTCAGAGTGTGTGCACTAAAGACGAATCACCCGTCAACGTTTTCAAATAGGTGGACTAATTGGATGGAAAGAACAAAAAGCCCAAATTGATGATGACAAAGTTTGGTTTCAAGAGAGAAGGCATTGGTGCGGCGTTATGCTACTTCAGATGAGTTCCCAAGTAAAAGTTGCGAATGATTACGAACGAAGCTTTCATTTCGATTCCAGAAGCAACTTTTATCAAACTTGCCTCGTCATTCAGAGTTCAGTTGATTTACCAGTCGTCTCAGGGCGGCGGCGGCGGAATTCGATGAGTTGTTGGTGTCTCTTCCAATTCTGCACATTTACCAACAAGTTAATTGCATCTTTCCGACTCACACGTTCATATTACTCTCTACGGAGATGCTGAATTCGCGTCGTGTACTGCTTGCCAGATGATGGTGGCCACTGGGAACCATAGAGCCAAAGGAGGGTTCAGGGCCAAGAATGCTCTCCGGATATGTGGCTGCTCTCCCAGATGAAGTACTCTCACGATCGGATAAAGGCTTCGGAGGAAAAGAAGCACCTCCTCCCTCACGCAGTGGAGACAGGTTCTGTAACAAACGGGGAAGGAAAGAAGATGCTGATCAAACATGGAGGTGCTGATCACAAAGCAGATCAAAATGGAGAACATACACGGGCTGCACGAAAGAGAAGCTTCCGAGCTGATGATGTTTCCACTGTTAGATCCATCCAGTGGAACTAATATTAGTGCCATTCATGAGGTCAACACGCATGCATCTTCTGCTCTCCAGAAAACAGAACCTGGCGTTGAACATGCCGAATTAGAGGAGAAGCCTTCCTCAAGTACAGCAACGGGTGAATCTGATGATAATATCGAAGAGCAAACTGGTCTGGAAATCGGAGACGTATTCAGCAAATGAATCGGGTAATCAAATCAACCAGAATCAGAGTCGAGATCAATAGATTTCTCAACCAATCAAATCAATGTCCAGAGAGATAATAACAAAATAAAAATAATAATAATAGTAAAAAATAAAATTATAACTATAATAGTAGTAAACTCCATCTCCCATAATTTACACACAAGGAATTCAATTCATTAGTTCATCTTATGATTAATGCATTATAATAATTTTTTTATATATACTCAAGTATAAAAATAAGAAAAAAATTATAGTAATATTTTTTAATTAATAAAAAATATCATGATTCTATAAATTAATAAAAAAAATTAATAATGCATTATTTTAGTTCCTAGTAAATGTTGTTGTACTCAACATTCGACGACTCTACCTAACACAATTCCTGAGTCCACCAATCTGCAAACGCAGACGGCTTCGACAGACCCAAAAACATCATGCTTTTGTGACATCTCAAGCATATACACTTGCGTCTTTGGTTATGGAAATGGAAGCTTCAGCCATCGATCAGTTTTCGAGAATTATGACTCTGCAGGCATCTTCATACTTATTTCATGCTCTCAACACGATGACTACCAACGATCAATCTACGCTTTGCTGCAAAGTTTCCTCCTCGCGGAAACCATCGACTGCTTTGCCTCTCGCCAACACAGCCATCAAAAGCTTCGACAAAGCAAAAGCAGCACAACCAGCGATCGTAATAATTTCTCATGCCCATCACCGCAGCGACAAAAGGCTTCGCTCTCCACACTTGTTCCCAACCTTATCATCAACGCCCCTTGCACTCACATCCCAATTGCCCAAACACTCGAGATCCTCAGGGCCTGCACCGACTATCTTCGACCACTCCATGTCTTGCCCTCTCGAGTTTTGGCAGACAAATGATTCCTAACGCTAACAACTCGATAGAAGCTTAGGTGAAAGCGTAGAATGAATGATACAACATCCACATATTTGCCCGAGGGGAAACCAGCATGGACTAAATAGCTGGCCAGCACCGAAAACAAGGTCGTGCCTCATGCCGGTTGAACGATGATGATGTCTCCATTACAAGTACTTAATTCATTCGAGCCGAACGATGATGTTATCCTAAGTAACAGTATACGACTAATCGACGCATGAATATCCAATCAAATAGAATAGCCTTGAAAACTTCATGTGTTTGACAAAGAACACACAACAATCTCGATGTAATTACTGCTTATTTCGTCTCTGAAAGCATTCCAAACATACAAAGAAAGACAACAACTCTTCCTCTATGGCGCCATGCAACAAGCATTCACCTGCGGGCAGCCCCCACAAGCGAGTTTACCTGTTGTGGAGGGGGTTCGAACCGGTCGGGACCATTCTCTTTTCTTCCAGAGTATCATTGCAAGGAGGGACAAGCATCGGCTGCGGGGTAGAAGGCAACAGGGCGCTCACTCGGCCAAAAGTTGAACGCATGGCAACAGCAGCTACCAGAATGATCACCAAGATAATAACTCTACCGACAGCGGCCATCTACGTCAGTAATATGGAGGGAGAAGAAGAAGACGACGACGATGAGGAAGAAGGAGGAGGAGGAGGAAGAACAGTGAGGAGGGTAAAGGGAGGGGGAGAGGCTTCTGCCATCTGAGAGGGAGAGAAGTAGATGGTGTGGCAGAGAGCCACCTCAAAAGAAAGGCTTTGATCGCCTCCAATGTATTTAGTGCCCGTCTGTGAAGGAGACAGAAAGAGCCATCTCTTTTTGCACTCCATCCATTCACTGACTCCTACTGTGTATGTAGTGAGTAAGAGATGCCTTTGGTAGAAAGCAAGTGTAGGTTTTCGATTTGGTCAGAGAAGATCTCAACTCTCTTCCACTGTGTTCGAATTGTTGGTTTCGAATCCAAGCCAATGAACTCTTTCGTGATGGTCGACCATTAGCTGCTTCGTTACTGAATAATCGGACGCAACATTTACTGCGATTTGAATCTAAGGAGATCCTTTTAAGATACGGAGGAACACCAATCACCAGCCCCAAGTCCCATTGATCATCGAGACTTACTGTTGTCATAACTATAGAATTAGAATTATGGATTAAAAGTTACATGAAATTCACAAATAACAAAGGGGAAATATCATGAAAAAGAAGAAGAAACATAGAAGGGTGAAATTAATCTACTTAAATAAAGATGGTTAAAGCCAAAAGAAAATGTCTCATTGAACTACTAACCCATGTAACACTAAAATTCCAAGACAAATCAACCATCCTGATTATGTTGCAATTTCCTAATTGCTAATCTCCAAGCAAATTACTACTTGAATTATCATTAAAAATCACAAAAGTAGAAGTGTTGCCTTTTGATGCAAATAGAGTCTACATATTATATATATGCCTGTGACACTTCAATCCACAATTATCATATTTAATCTTTCTCAATTATGGCCATGATAAAATTCCAAAATATATCACAGCCTCGATCATCCGAACACAATAATTTTTATGCATACTAAGTATCTCAATGGAACAAACAGTCATAGTCAGAGACCACATAATAATAATAATAATAATAATAATCTGTTACAACTTAATATTATGACCATAGTAGTTCTCTTGCCATAATAGTAAGCTAAAGAGCATCATATAGATATATTAATACAGACAACAGACGACTTGGTACCTTTCCCATGATAAGATACTCCCTCGATAGGGATAGGTCAAGCAAGAAAACACAGTGGCAACATTTGAAGATGCATGATCTAAGGTCCCAGGCGATACAAGCCGTCGCCCATAAAGTACTGTCCATCCATGTAAAGTGCAGCATTGGGTGCATGGTAGCCATCCATGACGACGAACTGCATGTCTTCCGATGGCTTCCAGTGCCTCTTCCTTTGATTTATGAACCAGTTGTTGATCTGCTTCAGATCGAGGCCGGTAGATTCTGCTAGCGCCACCTTCTGAGTCTCCTGTTAAAGTCCATTGCTCATGTCACAGATGTACAAGATTTTATCGGATGCGCATAAAGTCATGCTCGCAAGTGCTAAATCTAAATCCTGTTCGAGTCCATCGCATATGGAAGCTGCTAATGCAACAGTTTTTATCGGATGCGCAGAAAAGCACGAAAGGCTTAGGCACTTACCGAAGGATAAGGCCACTTGTAATGCAGCTCCCACCAGTTGAGCAACTGTTGTCGGGCATCCTTTGGGAGTTTCCCCTTTTTCTTCTTCTTGGAAAGCTCTTGCCTGAGGCTGCTCAAATAACCGCTGTACTTCCTCAGAAGTTGGTGCTTCAGCTCTCGGTCCTCCGCAGATGCATCGAGCTCGGGGAGTTCAGTTTCTCCCCCACTCCCATCTTGGTCGTCTTCCGATGAACAAACCCCAAACTTGTCATCTGCATGATTACCGAATATAAATTGCAAATAAATCTGATTCGATCGGAGTGACTTCACTGCAGATTCATGATTTCGTAATGCACAATTCTTATACTACTTAAACATGCATAGTCAGAGAGTAAAAGCAAATAAAAAAGAAAGAAAACCAAGAGTGATACACCTTGACATATTTGTGGATGACTCGTTAATACATCTTAGTTACATTTTTAGCTCAGAAAAGAATTTCTTTGAGATCACACATGAAAGGAGTACCCAATTGGCAAGAAAAGAAATCCAACATCCACATAAACAGATTTGTACAAGACGCTAATCGTTGAAAGATCAGATCATAAAAACGCGCTCTAGGATGATCGCAACGATATGAATATAAGATTTCAGTCTATAACCCAGTTCTATTGTTAACAAGAAAGATGACGTCATATTAGGATGATCGCAACGATATGAATATAAGATTTCAGTCTATAACCCAGTTCTATTGTTAACAAGAAAGATGACATCATATAGGATGATCGCAACGATATGAACATAAGATTTCAGTCTATAACCCAGTGTT